TTGCATTCAATTTGTGGCTTGCTTGTACAAAACAAAATTATTGGCCACACCCAGTTTTTGTTGGTATCTTCAATCTTGTCCATGATTGTTTATTTAATAATTTGTGAACTCTATGCATGGCTTCTTAGAGATGTATTATGCAAATGAAAAAATAAATATCAAGATGTTTAATTTAATATGATTTATATTATTATTAATAAAAGATTTATATCGTTCCATATTTACTGCAAAACAAAAAATAATTATGTACCGGGTACCCAATAAAATAGATATAGAGGTATAGGTACACATTTAATAGTTTAAACTTAATCCCTGCAAACTTTTAATCGGATTGTATGAATGTTTTAAAATTTTAAAATACATATTAAATAAGTAAGTACTTATTTATGTACTGCATTCGCCAGCGATGACGAAATATTATTCGTCCGCATTTGTACGTAGGTGTTCTTATCAAAATATTGATTATTTTTAATTCTGCAGAGCGGAGTTAGGAATGTATTTTTTCTTGCAAATTACAGCTTAATTTGCTTAATATAGGCTAATATTTTGTATGTGTAGTATTTTAATAAAACTATATTTGTATAATATTAGTAGTAGTAATAGTAGTATAAATTTCATTGTTTTATATTAACTATTTGCTTTTAATAACATAAAAATAATACCTCCTGGCTCCTATCACGTAGTGGTTTTAATTTTAGTCTATTAGTATTTCTTCTGTGTTGTCTAGATTGTTGGTTAATTAATCAAGTAAAAATGTATAATTCTATATTATTATTATGAAATGTTTAAATAGCTGATAGGTAGATTGAACTTGATTAATTATAATATAGTAGTGACACAATTCATTACGATATTTTATGAAAATTTAATAGTTTACTATCATTTCACTGATTTAAGTAAGATAATGTTTTTCTGTTAGATTACCTATAAATGTTTATCATTGAAGTATTTTTTATTCGATTATTAATCATTACTTGTAAAATTTAATTTGTCACTAAATATAACTGATTTGTTATTGAGGGATAATAAATGTGAAGTACCGATATTCTATGATTTGCTAAAGAAAAAATGGTAATAAATAATAATTATTTATCCCGCCGTGAGTAACCATGAGAATTATTATAAATTATAATATTTTATTATTACTCTACAATAAAACATTTATTCTGGAATAGCTCCCTATATTTTGGATGCATCCTTGTAGTAGTTTATAGCTCTATATAATAGGCATTTTAGGTGTATTCTTTAACATTTATTTCACTCAAATTAATTCCAATTTCGTGTAGGAAGAAAATGTCAATTGCCTACAATATCGTTATGGTTCACTGTGGATATTATTGTAAATATATATTTATTATATTTTTATAAGTTTTGATTCACGTGTATAAGTTATAGGTAACATTTTATTTTAATCGTCAAATTTTTCGAAAATTTGCAGTTCAAAATCTAATTGTGTTTTTACAAAATTATTTTTATATAAAATAGACACTTGATGCAACTTAAACCAATGTTTTTTATATGTGAAAATTAAATATTTAAATAATTAAATAGTTAAAAATTAAATATTTATCCATCTGTAAAATTGGAATGCGTATTTATATATTAATTGAGATTCTAGGGCCTTTCAAATATTTGTCTACACTCATTGTTGTGGTTTAATTTTATAATTAAAATTTTTTATGTCATTGCCTGATGTAAAATTAAAAATTTTACTTAAACCGTTGGATAACAAATAAATAATAATCTATTATTCACATTTTACCAACCTTGTTTTTATGTATTTTAATTAAATGTTTGTTTTTATAAATAATATGTATTATAATTTATAATAGTATATTATATGTATACTTTGGAGTTTTCTCGTTAAAAATTTGAATCATCACGATGAATCCTTAATACATTGTATAATATTGTATATAAACGTCTTTACATAATTGCTAAAAGCTTCAGATTTATTAGATATTTTCTTGGATTTGAGTAGGTATGTAAAAGTTCTCTTTGTATAAAATGAATAATTCTTGTCGTTTTACTTAATAGGCTAATTCTTTATAACATATTTTATTATATATATACACACGGATATGGATTTAATAATATTATAATATTTAAAACGGAAATGATTACTACGGCCACGACATATTCTGGTAATGTAAGCCATAATAATTATATAACAACAATAATATTGTATACAAAATAATAATTGTTCAAAAATAATGATTTTTTTCACCAGTTAGTCGGCCATTTTGTTTTGTTAATTCTTTTACCAAATTAATTTACTATACACACATGAGCCACACCTGTGTATGCACAATGATATACACTATACTATGGGTAATACGAGTGTTATATTATACTATAATATAAGAGCTGAAATTTACCGTTATTTACAGGCAGTTGTCGCGTTATCGCCGTGCGGCGAATTATTATTTATTATTATTACAATAATAATATTATTGAGGTACAATAATTTTATTTTAAAATCTCAATAAAGAAAAAAAAAATATTCAAAAATCAAACTTTTATCAAGTACATTGTAAGTCATATCCAAACAATTTAGATAATTTATTGTCATTCATTTGGTGATAGTTGATCATCGTCAAATAACATTCGATGGATATGAATAATGAGTTGTATGTAGTTACCACCTAAATTTACCTACTTTCGATTAAAAAAATATTTTTTAAGCGCATTTATCAATTTCAAAGCCTCGCGAAAACGACGGTGTCGTGGTTTACGATACTACCGCAAATGGAGTATAATAATGATATATAGGAATTATTACTTTCCTGTTAAGTTGCTTGTGTGTACAATATTTTAATGATTATTATTTATTATACAACTACGACGTTTGTCTCGCACACATTATTTCTAAACAGATTCATTTGGCGATGTGCGTTTCTCTCTTTCTTTCCTCTCACTCCCACGCTACCAGCTTGTAACCGTTCGAAGTGCGTCATCGCCGTTCAATTAAACGCTATTGACTGAATCGCGGTTAAACAGAGTTTGTTACTTAGGACATCTTCTCATTTCTCAATATCGAACTTGTAATAAATCGATGTCCTTTAAAATATATATGCTCAGAAATATGTATTATTTTGTCGAATTATGTAGGATTTATTTGCTAATTTTACAATTTACCTATACTACGGCTATACATGCGCAATAAGTGTAATATAATATGCTGGTATTGTATAAATGTCATGCGGAAATGCTCGATACATATTTTATACATGATCGAGATAGACACTATTTCGAGTTTATGTCTTGTGGGTTACAGCACAATACAACGTTCCAATAACTGCAATACAGTTTTTAACAAATCTTCAAGGGTTAGTGAATTTAGTACCATGGCAAAAACATAATATGGCGAAAAAAATGTTTTCATACTCTTGTTAAATATTGTCCAAGCATACTTACTTTTTATTCTCTTTATATTTTAATAATATTTACCGAATAAACTATAATTTTTAATACTTTTATAATATTTACTGAACAAATTATAATTTTTAATATTTATATATTAAAATTAACTAACCAAATTCGAAGGGGTTAGTGGGGGAGGCGATCGCACTCCAACTCTACCCCTCATTAACGTCACTGAATATGACGATGGTAAATCGATTGCGGTGCCGTATTGATGCTGGGGCCATGCGTTAGTTAACACGGAGAGATTTGAAAATTATGCGTGTTTAAAAAACGAAATATTATCAAATTGTCTGCTCCAAACTGTTGTCGTCACTTTGGAAATAATTATTTATTCGTATCCAATACGTGCATTTATTTATATATTTACATATATATCTACATTCGTTACAAAACACACATTAGATCGCGATTATTTCTTTTTTTAGTTACTTGGTTGTCCTTTTGAGTATGTACTATACACTGCGAAATATTTATTGGCGATCCTATTGAACTGAAATTGGTAAAGATATTATGTGTTTTTTTTTTATTGATCAAAAAAAGACATCGGCAACAAAGGCCATTAGTCATAATATACGTTACATTGATTACATTTTTTGAATCTTAAATATAGTATTTTTAAATTAGATTGTACAATTCATATTTTCTTAAAAAAGTCAAAATTTGAAATGTGATGTCTGCATTTGGTCCGAAGGTTGCGTCTTAGGTGGTTGGTATGTTCAGCTGATGGAGTTCCTGTGTGTATTGACGACATTCTGTGAAGATATGGTGGATTGTTAGTTCAGTACCACAGGTTGTGCAGATAGGTTTTTCGTCCAGATATGTGTTTGTTTTGTTTTTAATATTCAATTTAGACGATTTCAGAACATTTTATTGCTGTCCCTTGTTATATGGGTGTTTTTATTAATGTTTTACAAGTTGTATTCTTGTATTCCTAATCACGCGGGACTCAACAATAAATTATAATTATCATTGTTATTTCATTGTTATCACTATTATAGGAAATCGATGAATTCTATTAGTTTTTACCTACTGTTTGATGTGTATAAAGCGGACGGTATTATTACTTATTAATCTCTTCATTTGCTAAACGTTATACATTTTTCAAGCTCGTTAAAATGTTTTCGATATCTATATTATAAATATATATTTTTAAAGGTATTAATATAAGCGATAAATTTATGTTTAGAGCAAATATTTGCTCTATCTTATATTTGATAACCTATAATCTATATTATCGCGTTTTCTTTTTCGTTTCTAATAGCTGAAACTGACCGGTATTTATGAATTTGGCCTATAGTATGCACTATATTATATTATATGACCTGATAACTGAATTATTATGTGGATATAATTTTCTTTTTGTGAATGAAAATAAGAATATTATTTTCCGGTTGATGTTTGTCTACTATTGCAGCCATGTGTACTCTGCACGTATGTAAAACAGCACAGTTTAGCAACATAGGGTATGTCGTATTATTGTGACATATTTATTATAATATTACATTATTATTATTACTCTAATACAAATTCTATGTTTATTATATTATGTCCTTAATTTTTGTTCGTTATTTCAGTGAGCCGCCTGCATTGCGAGAGCGAATCGTTCAAGATGGAATTGATCTTGGATATCAATTCGTGGATTTATCCTATGGATTTGGGTGAGTGTATACATCATAACATTATTTTGACATATTTAAAGAAAATTATGACAGCAGTAGAAGAGGGACATAGATTATTATAATCAAAGTATTTTTTCATTTTTTTTCTATCATCTAAATTCAATATAAAATAACCTACGGTGGGACTCCCTGTATAGAATAATATTAGTACAATAAGTAGGTACTCGATCCTAACTACACACTACTAGAAAAGTACACTATTTTCCCCGCTTTAAGCACGCGATACCCATACTTAAGTGGCGTTGTTTGCGTCACTCGACCGTAGCAGACTCATAATTCAGTTACGAGTAAAATACGAATTAAACCTGTCTAAAGATTTTGTTGGTAAAATTTAAAGTGATGTAGCTAGATTAAAAGGTGGGAAGAGCGATCGGATTCTTTATCAATAAACAGTCATTTGTATTGTTTAAAATGCGAATTTTATGTTTAATTTTTTTCTTACTGTTGATTTATAATAATAATATTCATTATCGCGCCGTATCCGAGTATAATACTATGCATAAAGTTACACGCTCAAAATATTTTTAATTTTTGCAAAATTCTACAACTGTATTATTATGCTGTGTACCTTGCGTACTCGTGTCGGTACCCCAAAAATTCGCGTTCAATCTGTTTTCTTATTATTACAGGTAATTAATATTATATTCGCGTAACTATGTATATAATATGATATTGTTATGCTTTCGGCTGCCCCGGCCCGGTACCGAACGAGATATCATACACAATTTAATAATAATATTATGTACACATTTTATACGATCGCTCGCGCACGCGCGCGCCCGCCCGTTGAACGTCGTCGTCGTCGTCGTCGTCGTCGTCGTCGTCGTCAGCGGCGGCAGCAGCCGAGGCGCCTAGAGTATACACTCCTACGCCCGCCCCGCCCGTCCCGCCAACCAGCCGGCCCGTCAGTATATTTGGCAAAACGTGCGTGCGCGCCGCCGCCGCCGAACGGGAGGCTCCGAATGGGTTGGTGCGAAAGTTTTCGACACGTAGGTTAGGTATATACGCGATGCAGTAATATTTTGTCCGCGCTCGCGGGTTTTTCGAAAACCCCACCGCACGCCAGTCGCAAGTGCACAGTCGTGCACTCCCGTCGCTCATCACCGTGCCATACACTGTCATCAGTCATCACCACCGTCACCGTCACCGCCACCGTTAACCGCCGTGTGTCGCACGTCGCCATAAGAACGCGTCGGCGACGATGGCGTTAGTAGTTTCCTCGCCGCCGCAGCCGCTTAACGCTTTGTCAACAACACGCGCGCGCGGCCGACCTCCACCGCCGCCGCCGCCGTAATGCCATCCACTTTTACGGTAAAAAAAAACCACTCTCATGATATTTTTTGTTTCGGGTTTTTATAACTTATAAATAATTGCAGTTATACTAGTTATTGCTCGTAATAATTATTACCTAATAATATTATACTGTTTAGACATCGTGTATATTATGTTGCCGTGGCATAATATATTATTATTGTTTTAGGCGGGCAAAATCTGTGCGATACCATGTTATCATGTTGTATTAAATTATATTAGTTGTGTTATATTACAATATTAGAGTATTACGTTGTGTACGCTTTCCGTCGTCGAAAAATATTACAATAATAATAATTATTGTTTTGCCGATAATATTATTTGCGCAGCCGTTTTCGCGCAAAATGTATACGCACTATTTTTTTATGCGTATAGATAATAATATTATAATGTTAACATATTGACGATATGCGCGCGGACTATAGGTCGTCACTACTATAATATACTGTCGGACAATACGGTGGCCACGAAGCAGCTAGTGTGAGTGTTTTGTGGTGTAATATTGTGCAGCTATGCAAGCCCGTTAAACGCTGTGGACGATGTCTTTACGGAACTCGGTAATAGTCGTCGTTAATATTTTAATATTTATGCATTTCCATAATAATTATTATGTAACACATTAATAATTTTTATTAATACTTTCGTTGTGTCAGCTTATATGATAATATCATATGTTACACTTGTTCGTTACAATAATATTATAACTGCGGTCTTGCCGCGGATATTGATTCTCTCACAGATACGTTTTTCTTATTTTCTGTCCGATACGACCAGACTTATGTTAAACTTATGTTTTAATTTTGATAACGACCTTATGCGTTTTACAAAAACACCGAAAAGAATTTCTCGACTCGGTAAAGACATTTCCCTGCCAAAATTCCATCCGAATATCCGATTTAAACCGAAAATAAATCATTCAGCTTACAATAATCCCCTCCTCCGCCACCGACAACGCAAAATTCCGCTTCCCGGATCCCCATGCATGGTGCTCATACGTCTCCGATTTCCATTGACATAACCTTCGGCTATTTAATTCGACAGTATTGAATACTTATCGAAATAGATGTAGGTAACCCGTTATAGCTGGTGTAGGCTAATAAATAAAAGATAATTAATAATTATTTAGGTACCGTATGGATTATATTTTCAGTAGATTTTAGAATTTGATATAAAATATTTATGACGATATATCGCAGTGGTATTTTACATAGGTATTTGAATAATTAATTGAAAAATGTTTGTCACTTTTTTTTATTCGTGTTTATAATAATTTATTACGAATTTCCATCATTTTATTATATTAGATTATATATTTGGATAAATCTGATTAAAAAAAAAATTTTCTCATTGCCTATAAATTTGAGAATTCTACAACTATTATCTTATATGGAAGTTTTTTGATTAATTACCATTATTTGGTTTTAAATCTTTTGACATACATAAGCTTTTGCGAAAAAATTTTAATGTGTGCAAAGTAATGAGATCTTTTTGGAGTAACTGCAATTCAAGTCTGTGAATTTTATAAAAATATTATGAAATAGAGATCATCTGGAACGATGGTCTATGAGTAATTTTAAAAATTATTGTAAAACAATACGTGCTCACTACTGTATATAAAATTAGATTATTTTCATAATGCATAGAAGAACGCGATTAAATATTTTTTTTTGGTACTTGTACCTACACTTGTACAATATACACACATTTACTGAGTTTCTATTAAAACTATAATTGATTTATTTTTTATTATTTAATCGCTTTTTGTTTCATCGAAAGCGCTAGCACAAGTTGTGTTCTTAACCGCTCATTTTTCCCACGGAAACCCAAAATAAAATTGTTTAGTTATACATCATTGCCGTCTAATTGTAATATTGAACAGTTGCCAAAATAAAAATCTTTTTATGAGAATATTTACACGTTTTTTACGTGCCGTTCGTGTCAGTGCTTCCGATAAAATGTTATTTTTCGCGGGGCGTAAAAACGACACAATATAAATTATAATCACGCGGTCGTATCGATGCGAATATTTAATGAAAATTCGTCGTTCGTTTCGCCAAATGCCCTTGCAGATGTTGGTGTGTTACGACGTATCTTAAAACTATATTTTAATGTATCGTGAAAAGGAAGAAAATGAAAAAATATATATATTCACTTTACAGAGGAAACTCATCAAAATAACAACAATGTAGAAGTAACTATATAATATTATTATGCGTATTGTTATATTTTGCCGAACTGAAAAACTGCCATACCCTTCTGCCCGGAATAAATAATAATATTATCTCAACGGTGTACCTAGTACCTGCAGTGCCTATTGCTAAAAAAAAGAAAAACTTATTTGAGAAGGGGTTTTATCTCGCACTATATTATAATACGATGTGTTCGAAAGAAAAATAATATTATCCAAGGTTGCCTCCGCCGTCAGCTGGTGATGTGCCACACACACACACACACACACACACACACACACACACACTCACACTCACACACACACGCGAGCACCATCGGATCGATTCGCCTGCTACCTCCTCTCTCTGCCACCACCGACCTTTGTGCTTGCCCACCGCCCGCAAACGCGCGCGCACGTACTCCTCGCCGGTGGAATGACGCAACACCCGGCGTAGTGTGTCAGGTCTCTGACGCGCCGGTCTGACTGTTTTTTTTTTGTTTTTTCGCTTCCACTCTCGCCTGACCACCCTCCACCGCCCGCGCATCGCCGTTACCCCGTTCCCGCCGTCACTGTGAATTCCCTCCGAGTGGTTCGCGCGCGCGCCAGGCGCTCCGCACACCCGCCGCCTCGCCGTCTTTCCATATCGGCCGGCCGCGGCGCCGCGTTTCCATCGCGATTTCAGCGCGGGTCTTCTCCACCCGCCAGTCCTACCGCGCGCCGTCGTTGTTTTCAATGCCAAGGTTAGATGCGCACGGGCGGTTCTCAGTGCCAAGGTTGTACGCGGGACGTCGGACGCGACGCACTCACTCTCGCTCTCTGTCTCTATCACTCTCGCTCTCTGTCTCTATCACTCTCTCTCTCTCTCTCTTTCTCTCTC